CCTGTCACCCTGGAGCTGGGGGGGAAGAGCCCCTGCTACATCGACAAGGACTGTGACCTGGCTGTGGCCTGCAGGTCAGCTTCTTGCAGACTTGAGGGGCCCTCAGCACTGGGGCAGGGGAGCATCTCTGGGCCAACATGCCCAGCTCAGGTGCTGGGGTGGGGAAGGGACTGAGCATGGAGCAAGCATGTCCCCTTCTGCCTTGCCACAGGCGGATAACGTGGGGCAAGTACATGAACTGTGGGCAAACCTGCATCGCCCCAGACTACATCCTGTGTGACCCATCCATCCAGAACAAGGTGGTGGAGAACATCAAGGCCACTCTGAAGGTGAGGGAGGAGTCCCTTGTGCTCTGGAGATTGTCCCAGCTGTGATTTCCTGGAGCTGTTTTGTTTCTGCTGTTCCCTTTGTCAGGAATTCTATGGGGAGGACGTGAAGTCATCTCCAGACTATGAAAGGATCGTCAACCAGCGCCACTTCAAGAGGATCCTGGGCTTGATGGAAGGGCAGAAGATTGCTCTTGGGGGAGAGACTGATGAGGCCTCCCGCTTCATAGGTGCTGTGGAGGGGAGGTGGCAGTGGGTGCTTTATGGGGTCTCTGTTTGTCTGTGCCTTACTTGGGTTATGTTGAACAGCCCAAGGTGCTGTGATGGGCCAGGTCTGTGTCCTGCTTATGCTGTTTTCTCATTCTCCCATTTGCCTCAGCTCCAACCATCCTCACGGATGTTTCCCCGGAGTCAAAGGTGATGGAGGAGGAAATCTTCGGGCCAGTGCTGCCCATTGTGACTGTGATGAGCGTGGAGGAAGCCATTGAGTTCATCAACCTTCGAGAGAAGCCCCTTGCCCTTTATGTCTTCTCCAACAACAAGCAGGTGGGTCAGGGCTGTGCTCCCTCCTGGAAGTGTCTCTGCACTGCTGGATCCTGACCATGGCTGATCCAAGACACAGAGCTCTGCAGGGTCTGTGTCAGTTGCTTTTCCATAAAGGAAATTTATGGAAATTGCAGCTTTTGGGGGGCATGAGAGTCCCCAGAGCTGCAGGAAGCTCCCAATCTCCTGCTGAAGGGCTCTAGGTTTGTACATCTCTACCCACACAGGTGGGTGCTGCTTCCTGCCCTGTCTCCTGCTCCCATTTCCTGGCTCTGTTGTGCCAGCTCAGGAATCCAGGTCAGGGCTTTGCCCTGGAACAACAGCCTCAGTGTGGGTGGGAGGGCTGAGGAGCACCTTGGGCTGAAGCCTTTTCATTTGGTGGCTGTTCCAGCTGGTCAGATCCTTTGCTTTAGTGGTGTAAACTGGCCTCTCTCATGGAACAAGGCACAGCCTGTGCCCCCCACAAAGGGGATTGGAAACACCACCTCAAACCCTCCCTGCTGCTGTGGTACATGGTGTTTGTCCCCTCCTGATTTGTTGTGTGTTCTCTCCCATTGTGGGCAGCTCATCAGACGGGTGATAGCAGAGACCTCCAGCGGTGGCATGACAGCCAACGATGTCATCATGCACTCGGTGCTCCCAGAGCTGCCCTTCGGCGGTGTGGGTGAGTCCCTGCCCCTGCCCACGCACCTGCATTGATCAGCAGCAGCCTCTGGCCCCACCCAGGAGCTCTCTGCCCTTTTGGCAATTCAGGAGTTCAGCTGCATTTCCCGTTAGTGTTATTTTCTGGGCTGGGTTGTTGTGTAAAAAGGCTCGTTTGTGTTTTGGTTGTTGGGCCTCTCAGTGAGGGAAGAAAGCCCCCTGGCACACAAGTGAGCTCTGGTTCTCCTGTGCTGGGGTGTGGGATGGATTTGTCAGTGGCCTGGTTGAGTTTCCAGGGTCCCATGGCAGAGCTCACCTGGCTGTGGGCACAGGGCTGAGCTCTTGGGTGTTGCTGTGTCCTCCTCATGTCCCACTCCTTAAAATCATGGCCCCAGCTCCTCCTGTCCCCAGCCCCTATGAGAATTCTGTGAGAAAAGCAAGGCTGGCCCTGGGAGGAGATAATTGGTGTCGTTAACCTTTTAAGGGTGGGTTCACACAAGCAGCACCTCAAGGCAGTGAGCAGGTCCTCGCTGATTGCTGCTAAGTTCAAAAAGCTGCTCTTTGCCCCTCTGCCCTGAGGAGGAGGAGCATGACCAAGCTTTCCCTGTGTCCTGGGGGCTGCCAAAGTAAGTTTGAGGAATGCAGATGTCGCTGTGTGAGCCTGGTGTGAGCTGCCTGCCTGTGTCCCTCAGGGCACAGCGGGATGGGCGCCTACCACGGCCGGTTCAGCTTCGAGACCTTCTCCCACCGCCGCTCCTGCCTCATCAAGGACTTCAAGTGGGATGTTGCCAACAGGCTGAGGTACCCACCTGGCAGCGAGGAGCTGATGCAGTTGGCCAAGCTCTTCCTGCTGAAGCAGTGTACCAGAAGCAGGGTGGGACATTTCATCTCGGCCCTGCTGACGGCTGTGAAAGCCGTGCTGGCAAAGGTGAGTTTGGGTCTCTGGGTGCTCCCAGCTGTGTCCCCTGAGCCCTCCTACCCCTTCATCACCCCGTTCCTTTGAGCTCTGCTCCCTCCCTGGAGGGCTCATCCCTGTTTCTGTGCCTTTCCAGGTGTTGTGCCCCCAGTGAGAGGGGTGATGGGCAGCTAGCCTTTGGACCCGCTGCTCGCTCCCTGCATTCCTACTGCTGAACTTTTCTTTGCTGCAATTTCATTTCTTACAAGGCAACCAGTGCACTGAAGAGGTAGAAGACAAAAAAATGCACCCCAAGTTAAAGGCTCCAGCTCCTACTGAAACAGGAATCTATCCAGACCTAGTCCGTGGATCATGCCTGAGCAGTGAGTGGCGGAGGGAAGGAAGCAGCATCCACCCTGCTTTGTAAACAGCAGCTCCTCTAAAAACTCCTGGGAACGTGGGAGTGTTTGTCACAAGGGTATCTAGACAAAGCCAGTCGTTACTGAGCCTGTTATCTCTGTAACACCTCACCTGATCCCCAGAGGAAGCTGCTCATCGCAGCGATAAGCCTGGGAAATGAGGGTCTCACTGCAGGGGACAGTCCAGGCTGGCTGTCCCCAGAGCAGAGGGAAAGGAGCCTTGAAGAACCTGCAGCATCTCATCCTTGAAGGGCCTCATGACTGAATGGATGATTCTCCTTGCAGGGAAACCACCTTTAGCCTTCCAAGGTGTGGCAAAAGCCACCTGAGCTGTGCCCATGCTGTCCTAAGGACTTGAGAAGTGCCCGGGACTGTTGTGCTGCTGTTTTGGGGGCTACTGGGGCAAAGACAGGGGCACTGCTGCAACTGGAGTCCCAGGTCTCAGGCATCCTTGCCAGAGTGGCAGAGCAGCCACAGCCACCTCCTCTGTAACTGAATTTCAGGGGTTTATGAGTTTATGGATAGGCTTTTACCTCCAGACTTGTTACTGAGAGCTGCCCTCGATCCTTGCTGAATAAAACCTTTATTTTACTGCAAAGGCCACCTGGGGCAGGGTGAGACCCATGTGTGGACGTTCCCTGCTCTGTCCCCAGGCTGCACCCCAAGGAGCCAGTCCCACTCCAGCTGGGTTTATTCTTTATTGGCCATTTGTCACGGAGCAGCAGGGGGAGCTGGGCTGAACTCAGCTCCACTGGGTGGTAGCATGGGCTGGGGGATCCCCCACACACTGTGTGTGCCAGGCAGCTCAGAGCAGCATTTTGGGTGTCAGAGCAGCCTCAGGGCCCATTCCCAACTGGAATCTGCACAGACACTGCTGAACACTGACAGAGGCTCCTGCGGGACAGGCGTGCACTCCACCTTCTCTCTGGCTCGTCCATTCCTGCTACACCTGTCCCTCAGGAAAGGCTTTCACCCCAAAATCAAGTCCCCACAGTCCTTGGTGGGAGTCAGGGCGTGCTGACAATCATCTTCACGGCGATGCCGAGGGCCAGCGTGGTGATGGCCATGACCAGGGCCAGCGCACGGCGGAGCAGCAGCTGGTTGGTGACCACGGGGGTGGCCGGGGAGGAGGCGGCTTCCCTCAGCTCCAGCTGGTACGTGGGGCCCTCTGTCCTGGTGATTCTCGTGAGCACAATGTCGCTCTGTGGTTCTAACCCCGCTGCAAGGAGAACAGGGTTTGGAGGGGTTTCTCAGGAGGGTTTTGTCACAGGGCTGAAGGCACCTTAGGAGCAGTGATCTCAGATCTTGACCAGGTGAGGACTGCCCACAGGTTGTCCCTCTGCCAACCTCTGTCACCCTCCCGAGGCCACACTTGTCATTACCGCTCTCCCAGCAGCTGAGGGTGTCACCAGCATGACACTCCCCCATTTTGACACTCCCCCATTTTGACACTCCCCCATTTTATGGGCTCGTTCCTGAACCTTTCAGGACCCTTCCTGCCCCAAACCCTCCCCTGCACGCAGCACCCAGCTGCTGCCATACCGACAGACCCCAGCACAGCCCTGGCAGGGAGGAAAGTGTGGGGCTGGGGGGCTGCTGCAATATCCAGGTCCTTGTAGGAGCCTTCAGTGCACAGGCTCGGCAGCCTCTGTGGGGTTACTCCTGCGCGGCGCTGAGCCTGCCAAGGGAATGTGCTGGGGTTAGTTGGGAATTCCCACCTGGCAAAGCTGTGCTGCCTCTCCTGGGGCCTCCCTGGAGGTGTTGAGGCACAAGGTGATGCTCAGGGATGAGGTAGCCCAGGTCACCCGATGTGCTCTGAGCTTTGCGTCCCCAAAAGAGGCGCAGGGGGAAAGCTTGAAGCCACTGAGTGCTTGTGCAGGGGGAAGCTGAATTCAGGGATATCATGGGAGTGCTGGGTTTTGCTCTGGAGCACTGGACATGAGATTGAGCCTGTCTCATCCCAGCAGGGCACTGGGGACCTTCCCAGTGCAGGGATGTGCTGTCAGTGCCTGGATTACCTTCTTGGCTGCCTTCTCCCAGTCCACACGGGAGATGAAGGTGACGAAGCTGCTGCAGAGGATGAAGACGGCGACGAGCAACCCAACCCACAGGCCTGCAGAGGGCACACAGCATCAGCCAGAGCCAACCCAGCATCCCAGGACAGCAGGTCCAGAAAGGGAATGTCACCCAGGCCAGTGGGAACACGGGGTGCTCATGGCTCCCTGCTTTGGGGTTATTTTTCCCAGTAAAAGTTCCCAGCAGCTGCAGGAGCTATCCCAGTCCAGCCCAGTGTATGGGCCAGTCAGCAGAGGGACAGAGCCAGGCACGAGGGCTGTGGTGAGCCCCGAGTGGAGCTGCTGCTGCCCGTGGGGGGTTTGGGGTGCAGTGCCCTGGGGTCAGTACCCATGACGCCGATCCTGGCCACGAAGAGCAGCACAGCTGCCAGGGGCAAGCCCACACCGTAGTAAGCCACAGCGTTGAGGATGGCACCAAACTTCTGCTTCCCGATGCCTCTGAGCACCCCACTGCAGGCACACTGCCAGGAGAGGGAGAGGGGCTGGGGCAGGGAGCAGCACCCTGGCCCAGCTCAGGAGATGACCCAGCTCCCTGCCCCTGCCCGTTATTTCTATGTCCCTGCCCAGTCCTACGGGTCACCATCATTTTATGCACTCAACATTTTCTAAGGGATGGTCCCAGGAGTTCTGCAGGGTCCTGGTGTGGGCACTGGTGCTCAGCTGCAGCCTGAGGGACCCTCAGCTGCCTGATCCATGGCACTGCTGCTGAGCACCAAGGTTCCCCGTGGAAAATAGAAGCATTCCCTGGGACTTACAGCCATGGCTTCAAACACGTGGAAGACAACGTAGACAGGAATGATCCATGCCACCAAGTCAATGATTTCCCTGGGCATGGAGGAAAGCCAAGGATCACTTTTGGGAACTGACCTCCCCACACCAAGGCCAGGAGCTGGGGGCACTCACTTATCTGTGGTGAAGATGTATGCCAGCACATTCCTTGAGGCAACTAAAATGGACACCACAATCACAGAGAACACCCCTGAAAACAGAGCACAGAGCTGAGCCCAGCCTGTGGGAGAAGAAGCAGGCAGAGGACTGCAAACACTCCCTGCTCCATGGGAATGAGGCCAGGAAGAGCCTTCCCAGGCTGTTGTGGACTGACCTGTGCAGATCAGGCTGGTGTGGGAGGATCTCTTGGCCATGTTGGCGTTGCCGGCGCCCAGCGCGTTGCCCACCTGCACGCTGGCAGCTGTGCCCAGCCCCAGGGGGATCTGCAAGCACAGGGCTCACATGTGCCTGGCAATGGGGCTGGCACAGTGACAGGGGGATACCCCCCCAGCAGAGAGCAGGGTGGAGCTCAGGATTTGATTTAAAGCATCTCTGTAAGGAGGGAGAGGCAGGAGCAGGGAGAGATTTGAGTGCAGAGGGGAAGATGGGGGTTTGCTGGAGCAGATTTTTGCTGTGTGCCCTCACGGAGCCCTGGTGTGCAGTGATAAGCCAGCCCTTACCATGAAACAGACAACAGACACCTCATAGATGATGGACTGGACAGAGAGCTCCACAACGCTCAGCAGGCCTGTGGGACAGGAGGGGTCAGTGCTGGCTGGGGGTGCTGCTCTGGGTCAAGCCTGGCTGTGTCCAGGCAGCTCCCTTCTCCACTCACCTATCAAGAAGCTCCCAATCTCGTAGGTCCACCACTCGATGCACATCATGAGCATGCTGGGGATGGCCAGGGAGGTGAAGCTGTCCCACTCCAGCAGGCACTCGCTGGACCAGCCTGTTGAGAGGAGAAACACCTGATGGATGACCAGCCTGGCCAAGTGCTACATCCTGAACAGAACCATTCCTGTTCTCAGAGCCTCCACAGGATCTCCAGCAGCTCAGTGTCCACCTACAACCTCTCTGCTGCTGCCCCATGGACCACAGAACAGCACAACCCTCAGCCCATCCCTCCTGGAGCTGTGTCCAAGGACAACCTCCTGCTTACGTCTGTGCTCATCCAGCTTTGGGGCTGAACCTCCCAAAGCCTCAGCAGGAAGTTTCATTTCTGCAGAATTAATGTTTAGTGCTGATCACAGAGCTCTGCCAGTGCTGGTGCGTGACGAGTGCCACTGAAGCAGCACCGTGGGCTGGGGTTAATGTTTCACCATCAGGATGAGCAGAATTCCTCTTCTACCAAGAACACCTGATAGAAGTTTTGTGGACACTTCTGGGTAAAGCAGGAAGCAGAGGGAGCAGTGGAGATGTCCTTACCTCCCCAGGTGTTCACATGGAGCTTCCTGCATATGATGTACAGGAACAAGAAAATGGCTTGTGAATACTGAGCGATGGTGTTGGCCCAGCCAGAGCCCCTGCAGAGGAAGTGAGAAAGGTCATTGGCATCCTGCTTGTGCCTCCCTCAGGGTGGAAAGAGACATCCTGCCGTACCCCTGGGAGCTCAGTGTTCCCTGGCCAGTGCCAGGTGCCCTGTTTTGCCCTCCAGGGGACACAGGTGCCACTCACATGACGCCCAGGTGGAACTCGAAGAGCAGCACGTAGTTTGCAGCCACGTTGATGAGGTTGCCGATGACCCCACTCAGCACCAAGGGCCACATGATCATCTGCAAAGAGGACGACATGGAGAGGTCTTCCCAAAGGTTTTGGGAGGGAGCTGTGAAGCTCCCACCAGCCCCACTCTCAGTGCCTTACCCAAAAAAAACCCCAAATTCCAGTGATGTCTCCTGCTTGGAAAATGAGTGTGATGGAGGTAAATCCCTGGTGTGGGGGAGTATGAAGGGAGGTGGATGGGTACAGCTGGCTGTGGAATGGGGTGATCTACAGAGTCAGAGCTGGTTTGGGGTACCTGGGCACCTTGTGAGCACGGAAACCCTGGATGCACTGTGAAAGGGAGCCCTGAGCCAGGGTGGGTGTGAGGATTTCAGGACCCACCTGGTTCTGCAGGTATCTTGCTTCCAGGTTATACATGAAAACTGCCTGCAGAGGAAATTTTGGATGAGATGAACCAGTGAGAAAAAAATTTTGGATGAGATGAGCTGTGGGAGGGGGACAGCCTGTCCCCATGTGCAGGTGGCACTCACCGGGAGGGCAGGGAGAAACGCATCCACGTAGCGCTGGGTCAGCCTGGGGGCACAGAGAGGGCTCAGGGAGGGCCATGGCCACGGCCACCACCCTCCTCTCAGCCCCTGCACACACCAGGGAGGGATGAGGGGACCACCCAACCTGGAGACATCGGGGTCCTGCCGTATGAGCAGCATCAGCGGCTCCACGTTGAGAAGGACGGCGCAGCAGGGGAAGCAGCAGAGGAGGATGATGATGGTGGCACGCTGCAGGATCACCCCCACACGCAGCAGGTTCTTGCTGCCATAGGTCTGCAGGGTGAGAGGGCAGGGTGAAATCAGCTGGTGCTGGGGGAAAAGGGGCCCTGGAGAGCTTGGAGCAGCCCTGACCACCCTGAAAAGCTCCTGGGAAGGATTTGGGGCGCAGATCTCCTTGTCATGGGATTGTTACCTGGGCAGAAGCTTCCCCAGCTCACAGGAGCAGCCAGGGCTCTGTGTGGTGCTTGGGCACCATCAGCTGATGCTGGAAAGCCCCCGTGTCCCCAGGACAAACCAGCATGTCCTACCCACCTGTGATATCAAAGTGTCACACGCTGAAGTCAAACCGTACCCTACAGAGATGGCGGTGACATTTATAACCTGGAAGTTAAAAAAGCAAGGAGTGAAGGTGAGCATTTTGTACTTTCAGGTGGGGAGAGGGAGGCTGAAAGGAGAAGTGGGAGTGTGAAATCTCCTCTTTTCCCCCCGCCATATCTCATCCCCGTGTCAGCAGGGAGGGAGCTGCTGCCCGGCCCCGGGAATGAACGCTTACAGCGATGGCCAGCGTGACAGAGGCCAGCTCAACCTTGCCCAGGTGGCCACAGAATATGGAGCTGACCAGGTGGATCAGGAAGATGAGCAGCTGGATCAGGATCTAAGCACGGAGCAGAGGCGGAGGTTAGGGATGGAGGCGAGCCGGGCTGGCTGTGCCGGGGGCAGTCTCTTACCAGCGGCCCCGCCAGCACCAGCAGCTGCCTCGCGTCCTCCCAGAAGTTCTCCGGAATCCAGCGGCGTTTCTTCTGGCAGCTCTCGGCTGTGAGGTCTCCTTGGCCGGCCGCCCTTCCCTCCCCGAGGCCATTCTCCTCGGGGAAGCTCTCCGGCTTCATGGTGCCCTGCCGGGGGAGTGCAGCGAGCCCCTTCCTCCGCGCTCTGTTAAACCGCGCCGGGCCCAGCAATGTGTAACCACGGCGGGCTGAACTTCAGCCGGGGCCGGCGTGCTGGGCTGCCCCGGGGAGCGGTGGGCACGGGGCACGGCAGGGCACGGGGCGGCGGGGCCCGGCAAGGTCCTGGCACCGCAAAGGAGCCCGGACACGCCGTGTCAGGTGTTTGCTGCCTGTCCTGAGCCAGCCTTAGGGCTGAACTGTCCTAAATCCACCCTGTGAGCCCTCCTACCTCTCCTGCTTCACCACAGCAATGGGGCAGGAGCCCAGGAGGGTCCTGGCAGTGCAGGGCAGCGAAAGGAGCCCGGACACCGTGCCAGGCCTGTCCTGAGCCAGTGGTAGGGCTGAGCCATCCTAAACCCACCCTGCGACCCCTCCTACCTGTCCTGCTTGACCCCAGCTCCCCCGGGCAGCGCTGGAGGCTGCTCCGGCTCCGGCAGCGGCGGGCAGGGCTGTGGGCTCTGAGGCTGGGCTGAGCTCTGCCGGCACTGGCGGGGCTGTGTCTCACTCACTCCCATCACGGGGGCCAAGACAAGCCGGCCCCTTGGCTCCTGCTCTCCTGGCACAGCCCCGCCGGGTCGGGTTTCACTGGCGCCGCTCCCCCGAGCCCGGATGGGGATGGAGATGCTGCCAGTGCAGCCCCCAGCTGCACGGAGTGGGCTGGGGTAACTGGTGGCACACAGTGAGACCCATCCCTGCTCTGCCCTCGCTGCCATCCCAAAAACTCGTGGCACACAGTGAGACCCATCCCTGCTCTGCCCTCGCTACCATCCCAAACTTACCGGGGCTCCGAGCAGGGCAGGGGCTGCCCCGTCCTCCCGCTGCTGCTGGGGGTGCTGGCACCTTCAAATTTGGTGTCACATTTTTTCATTCGCAGGTCACCAGCAGCACCAGGAGAGCTGTGGGGTGTCAGGGAGGTGCCACACGTGTGTGTGAGGTATTGAGCCGCCAGGGCCCAGCAGCTGACATGTCACAGTCACCCAGGGGCAGGTGAGAGCCCGGGACAGGGACTGAGGGCTGGGCTGGCTGCATTGTGACATGGGGCAGCTCTTTGATGGTTGAGCAACACATCCTCCCTCTTCCAGTGCTCAATTGTTAGAGCTCAGTGCATCCCTCTGGGTGTCCAGAGTGGTTGAGGATCCCAACGGGGGGCTTGGAGACCCCGGCATGTAGCCCAAAACACCTGGGGATTCGATTTTGACCCCTGGAGCAAGTTGCCAGCTTTGCATGAGGACTGGAAAGTCACAGAGGTTTGAATAGTGTAATAATAAAATTATCACAGGGTGAAAATGTAGATTTTAGGATTTTTGGTATGGGGGTTATGGGGACAAGGTGGAGGAACTTGGCCATGTCCAGCCTTTCTCCTTTTTCTCCATTTTCTGCACTGATGTTGGCACTTTGGGATTGGTTTAGAATAGGAGTTCACTGTCTAACATAGGTGATAGGTATTGGGAATTAAGTGTAAATATGATATAAGTAGTTTGTAGTATAAAAGACAACAGAGTGCTTGTGGCTGCTCTGCTGAGCAGATCTTGGCTGGGCAGAAAGAAAATTTTATAGATAAGAATTGATAAACAACTTCAAGACTGAAAACTGAAGAGTCCAGACTCGTTCTTCAGATGCATGGGCTGAAGCAGAGACATCCTGCACATCTTGGGGCTGCAATTAACAACCAGAACCTGAGACTCAACAATCCTGACAACAACAAATCTTGCTTTTGTACCCAAGGGGAAGAGTGAAAACAGTGTCTGGAGCCAGCCCCAAACCTCAGGGCCAGGAGCAGACCCACAATCTTCTCTCTCAACAGCACAGTCCTGCCAATGACCAGGGTCATGCTCACACCATATTAAACAGCCCAACGTTTACTCAGAAAACTTTATTGTATCAAAATCCCACCTTACAAAAGTGCAAAGAAGAGTTGCTTTAGGCCCTGTGCCGGCCCTGCAGAGGGAGAGCAGGGTCAGGGCCAGCAGCCAGCACCCAAGAGCAGAGTCTGACATCTTCCAGCAAAATCCATTTTGTTCCACAGCGGCTGCAAGTGGCATTTGCCACCCCAAGATGCTGGGACAGGCTGGTGTGTGTAAGGAAATGTGCTGTGGGCAGCAGGAGCCTCTGCCATGAGCAAATGACGCGGTCCAGTGTCCCCAGAGAGCAGGACAGCAGCACCAGGACCCTGTCTGCTCTCATCCATCTCTGATAAGTGACATCCCAGTGCAGAGCAGGAGAGGAGCCAGCTCTCCAGCGTGTGGGATCAAACGTTGTGAGCTAACCAGAAACCATGCAAAGGGACTTTTTGTAAGGCACTGTGGGGGAATCCCTCTCCCTCCCCATCCTCTGGGACATTGCCCTGTGCCCTCCTGCTCTGTGCAGAGTTCCTCAGTTCCCTGGGTTTATCCATTGCCAGTCAGGAGCCGGACCAGGATCCCCACCAGCAGCACAGCGATGGCAGCAGCAGCAGCCAGCCCTCGGCGGAGCATCACAGCCCTCCATGGCACGGGGGCAAGGACAGGGAGCACAGCAGGCTCCTCCTGAGGGCTGAGCTCCTGCCCAGGCTCCCTCTCCCCCATCGCCATGCTCTCAGGTAGCACCGTGGTGTCCCCGGTGTCTGGGTCAAGGGAGGTGTAACCTGTGGGACAGACAGAGCTGCAGGGAGGCTGCACCAGCACCTGTGACAGTGCTCAGGGTCCCTTCCCAAGGCTTGGGGACACTGGGACACACAGCCCTGCAGGGAGGCTGCACCAGCACCTGTGACAGCGCTCAGGGTCCCTTCCCAAGGCTTGGGGACACTGGGACACAGCTGCCAGCTGTATCTTGCACCCCGTTGCTCAGTGCAGGAGAAGTGACACTGGCCCAGGGCCAGCAGCAGGCACTGTGCTCCTTCCAGGTATTTGAGCCTCCAGGACAGACATGGCTGCCACAATTGGGAAGGAAAGGAAGGGGTTGGGTGGGGGATTTGGGCTCCCTGCCTGGTGTCAGGCCTGGCTGCATACCCACAGCAGATGTTTTGATAGCAGCTGTGCCATTGGAGTTCACTTCTTCCACTTGTTCTTTCGTTCCAGCTCGGACTTGAGCCTGAAAACACAGGGAAGAGTTGCTCTCTCAGGGCAAGGGTGTCCTGCCCAGCCCAGAAAACCCTCCACTCTCCCAAGAAAAGCATTTTCAGCACCAAGCTGCTCCTCTGCTACAGGAGAAGGACAGACCCCAGTTCACTTCTGCTGTAGTGTTGTACTGAAGCAGGAATTAACTCAGCACCTTTCAAGAACCACCAGAGAAAAGCACAATTCTCACCTCCTCTGCAGCTTTCCTCCAATCCATTCGGATGACAAAAGCCAAGAAGGAAAGGGCTTGCACGGAGATGCAAATGATCATCCCAACCCACAGACCTGCAGCAGTGGGAAGTTACTTCAGGGAGGGCTGGAGGAAAACCTGCCTTTGGAAAAGCTTGAGGAAAACCTGCCTTTGCCAGTTATTGCCAGAATGCCCAAGGACTTCAGCCCAAGAACTTTCAAGGGAACAGCTCCTGGGGAAGCTGGGAGTAAGCCTGGATTTACTGGGACCAGCTCAGTGCCCGCCCCAACCACAGCAATGTACAGTCCAGCCCCGCTGACCCAACAAAGATCCAGGCACAAATTCCAGGGCTCAGCCTTTGCTCAGCACAGCTCAAACCACACCAGCTGGAGGGCACACGTACCTAAGACCCCCATCTTGGCTGCAAACATCAGGGAGATGCCGATGGGGAAGCCCAGGGTGTAATATCCCACGGCGTTGGCAATGGCGCCCAGCTTCTGGCGGCCCGAGCCCCGCAGCACCCCGCCACACGTGGCCTGAAAGGAGGGACACAGTGTCACTGCCAGGGGACTGCAGGGCATGGCACAGCCCTGGGGACAGGGAAACCACAGCCCTGGGGACAGGGAAACCACAGCCCTGGGGACAGGGAAACCCACAGCACTGCCCCACCAAGCCAAGAGGAGCAAAGCCGCTTTCTGGAGCATGCGGTGTGGGGCTCCTCTCGCAGACAGGGAGCAGATCCCAAAGAGATCCCCAAGGTGCCTCCCCCAGGATATGACAGGAGGAATCAGGCCAGAATTGCTGTCTGTCGAGTATCCCAGTGTGCTGGGAGAGCCTGATGCTCACTTGTGTTGCTTTGATAAACCAGAAAAAAGCTGGAGCTGTGGCCAGGGGAAAAGAGGAGGAATGCCAAGGGGCAGCCACAGGCACAGAGGTGGTACAGGTAACACAAGCAGCTGCTCTGACAGTTTTTCAGGTTGCTTCTCTGGATCATTTTAAGAGGTCCAGAGTGGGTTTCAGGCAGCTCTGCAGCCCAAGCTGCAGGGAGGAGTCACTGCACGAGCTGCAATACTCACTGCTGTGGCATCCAGCAAGTGGAACGGAGCAAAGATGAGCATCACTCTGGACACCAAGGTGACAATCTCCCTGTTGGGAAGAGGGATGGATGGACTGATCAGGGGAAGCAGCACCACCTGGTCCCTGGTTCTCACATATCTTCCTCAATCAACCACAAAGGCTGATCCCAGTTTTCTGATCCCAGCCTGTCCCAGTGTGAGAAGCAGCTCTGCTGCCCAGGGATGCTCAGAAATGGGGAAGAACCTTTGAGGAACCTTTGCCAGATAGGGGTTTATGAACTCTTATCTGTCAGCAGCTTCTGGGGTATAAATAACACCCTCCAGGAAGGCAATAGTACTTAAAAGAAAGCTGTTAACCCACGTGTCATTGGTGAAGATGTATCCCACCACGTTCCTTAAGCTCCCCAGTAATGCTGAAACCAGCACAGCAAAAACTCCTGAAAGAAAAAGGAACAGTCAAATTGCTTCAAGGGCAGCACATCCTGCTCCTGACCCAGACCCCAGGGGCTCCATGTGGCGAGGACTGGACTTCAGTGACCTCAAATGATGCTGCAGCAGAGGACAAGTCTGTTCCTCTCACTCTCCCCAGATATTCCCTATTCCCTCTGGAGGGTGAGGACAGAACACTAAGCTGCATTTTTAAGTATCAAAGCCTTTGCACCAGGCTCATAACAGAAAAGATGAATCAGGGTCTTGCCTTGCCCAAAGGGTCCAGACAAGTGGGACTGGGTTCCTATGGGAGGTCCCCAGCCTTGGGGAGGGAAACTGAAGCATTTGCTGATAACTGCCCTTTATTCTGCTCTGCAGGACTGCACTGACCTGTGCACAGCAGTGCAGTGATGCAGGAGGTCTTGGCTTGCTCCACATTCCCTGCTCCCAGGGCATTCCCCACCCTGACACTCGCAGCCACGCTGATGCCCAGAGGCACCTGAGAAGCAGAGACAGGAGGAGGTGGGTGACAGAGCCTGCAGGGATTTTCTTCTTCCCCACTGAGGAACTGGGGACAAACTGGGATTGCAGCAGTGAAGGGATTTCCCATCTGCAGCACACCCTGGAGAGGCATCACCTGCCTGCTACCAAGCCCTGCTCTGATCCCCAGGGCCCCAGTTTTGGGGTTCCTCCCAGGCTGTTTAGGGTTTCCCCAGCCCTTACCATGTACGCCACACAGGCGAGCTCGTAGATGACAGATTGTGCTCCCAGCTCCACCACGCTGATCAGCCCTGGAAAAGATTTGCCACCTCCTTCAGTGGCTGGAAAGGAGGCACCTGTGCACATGGGATGGAGGGGAACACCTGCAGTGTCCTGCAGACCCAGCCCTGCAGGTGAGGAGGCTGCTGGCAGGGCCAGGGGGGCTCTGGGGACACCCTCAGGCAGCAGCCACCAGGAACCAGAGGGAAAAGAGGGTTTGGACTCACCAGCCAAGAAGCTCCCAATCTCAAAGGTCCACCACTCAATGCACATCATGACCATGCCAGGCACTGCCAGCCAGATGAAGGAGCCCCAGTCCACGAGGCATTCCCTGCTCCAGCCTGACAGCAGGAGGTGAGGCAGGATGAACATGTGTTTTCCATGTGCTATCCTAAAGGGGAGCCACATCCCCTCTCTGAGGACAACCCCCCCTGCAGCTCACAGGACATCAGCCCAGGATTGCTGCTGTGCCATTCCTGAGTAGGGATATTTGGCAAGAATGTGTTTGGAGCTACAGTAAAGGCCTTGAGGACATGGCCACAGCACCTTCCCACTGTGAGGGATGGCAATCCCTTTGTGACCTGCTGGTGACAATGCCAAAGACACTGCTGCTCTGAAGGGTTAGGATAGAACAGTACCTCCCCAGGTCTTCACATGGATCTTCCTCCACCACACATAAAGGACGAGGAGGATGGCCTGGGTGTACTGAGAAACCATGTTAGCCCAGGCAGAGCCCCTGGGGAGAGACAGGCAGGTTACAAGGGACATCCTTGCCCACAAGTGACCTCCTCAGCCACAGCAGGAACAGAGCTGAGGGCCCCCACAGCAACCCTGCTGCAGATATGGGACAGACCCTTCCAGCCTCAGCTTTGCTAGGGTCTGGAGGGAGGGGTGGCAGAACTGGGCACTCAGGGAAGTCCCTCATGCCCCGAGCAAAGTCCTGCACCCAGGGAGAGCCCAGCCCTGCTCACACTTACACCATGCCCAGCTTCAGAGCATAGAGCAGGAAGGCGTTCATGGCTGCATTGAGGATGTTGGCTGCAATCCCCGTCACCACCTGAGGCATAATGATCTCCTGGAAGCCAAGGAGGAACTTTGGAGTTTGCTTTCCCAAAAGGCAGCCCAAGCCCCATCCAGTGAGCATGAGGGACCTCCAGCAGTGCCCAAGGGGAAAGCCAAGAAGGCAGCTCGTGTTCCAGGTGAGGCTGGGCTGTGTGAGATGTGCAGGAGGTGACAAGCAGAGCTCAGGAGCTGGTGCAGCCCATGAAACACAGAGTTGGGA